TGTAGGGGGAGGGGTTTTTTGAATGAAGCAAAATTTTTGGATCTTAATAAATTGTTGACTACTAGATTTGACCCTAACCAACCTTTTTGATGTATATAATAATAATAAGACTCACAGATTGACCCTATTAATGATTGTTACATTTGTAAAATTAAATAATTTACCCCATTACTATTATAATTACTAACAAAAAATTTAAATATGAATTTGACCCAGCTGCGGCAGTAACCTATCTATGAAGTTTACGGGGGGTCTTATCCAGATCTCATATTAATATTACGCCAATTTTGGGTTAGCAGCGAAAAGTCTGATTAAAAGATCCGCAAGACCAATAAAAAGTTCTGCGGATTATTCAGTGGAGAAGGAAATTTGATTTACGCATATCCTTTGTTGTTATGAATGAATGAATGCAAGAGACCTAGAATTTTCAAAATCATATAGACGATTAAAAAACATTGAGAATGCCAATCCGAGATAATTCGAATTTGGAAAGTTTTGTTACTTGCTACTTTGTAGAACAGGAAATTTCAAATTAAGATACAAATAAAAATGTTGCGCCAACTCTTTTTTGAAATATTTTTTTGATTCATCTCTTTTAAATCTTTTTTGGTTTGAAAGGTTTACCCATGAATGATATGTTTATCTACCTTCCTTTGTGCAATTAAAATCTAAATATACCTATGGCGAACATATTTTCATCAGTTGAATGCAAGCAGTGTGTTGTGAACAGTTAGTGCAAATGCATTCTGAATCGGATGCTGCTGCTGGTATTCCATTGATATTGATGTCTTTTGAAGGTTTAGGAATATAGAATTCCACACGTTAGTCCTCCTCAAAACCTGTAATTAACTAATATTTGGAGGAAAATAAAACAGGTTTTTGTAGATTACAAGTTTTTGGTTGAACCTTTTCTGTACAACTCTAATTTTCCAGAATCAGAACAAGAAAATAATGCAGATCTAATGGGGAATATAAAATAGTGCGAGTGATACGACAAACATTAATTTTTGTTAGTTTTATTTTCTTTCTTATTAACAAGAACACATAAATAAGGAAATGGCTCTTCCTCCTTTTAATTTAGATGAATTGGTACTTGTGGAAGCAACAGC